AATAAAAATAAAAATACCGAGAAATAAAATTACTTTGAAGCCATGGATCACAGAAGGACTTTTAAAATGTATGAAAAAAGAGATAGAATGCATAAGAAAATTAAAAATGAACCTAATAATGATAACTTAAAAACTACTTACAAACGGTATCGAAATTTTTGTACCTAATAATATACTTAAAAAAGTTAAACGAAATTATGAACAAAATCAAATTAATTTATGTAAAAATGACAATAAAAAGTTATGGAATGCAATTAATACTATCTCAAATAGAAGTAAAACTAAAGAGTCAGCGTTTGAACTTTTGTCAGTAGACGTCACTGAAAAAGAGTCAGCAAATAAGGTAAATCAATTCTTTGTTAGCATAGGATCAGAACTTGCAAGCAAAATTCCATCGAACGTTGCCCCATTTCCTCAAAATTGTATCAAAAACTTAAACTTAGAGTACACATCATTTGTACTTCAGGAAACTGATTCTGAGGAAGTAGAAAGACTCATTTATTCCCTAAAGGATACATCTGCTGGATATGACGGTATTTCAGCTAAAGTACTAAAAGCTATTCAAAGTATTATAATTCCAACAGTTACTTATCTTTTAAATCGTTGCTTAACGGAAGGTGTGTTCCCGAACGCGCTAAAAAAGTCGGTAGTTTTACCGATTCACAAAAATGGGGCTAGAGACAGTGTAAACAATTATCGACCGATCTCGATTTTGCCTTCATTTCGAAAATTCTGGAAAAAATCATAAATAAGCGCCTCATTAGTTATTTGGAAAATAAAAAGTTATTATCGGAAGGTCAGTATGGTTTTAGGTTGGGAAGATCCACTACTGACGCTGTCCAGGATTTCGTTGACTTCATCAGTAACAAACTTGATAAAAAAATGAAATGTTTAACGATTTTTCTTGACTTGGCGAAGGCGTTTGACACTGTCTCTTGTCAAAAACTTTTACTTAAATTGGAGAGTATGGGAATTAGAGGCAACCAGTTGCGTTTAATGCTGGTTGCCTCTAATTCCCATGCTCTCCAAAAAACGAAAAGAAAGGGCGCAACGAGTAATATTAACAATTTGTCTTCACAAGCCACATTTGTTTCCTACGGTCGAATTATATAAATTAGGTGAGGTGTTAACTGTTCGTCAGCTGTACATTCTTTCGACAGTTCTAAGACGACATTCCGAAATTGTTTTTACACCTGATCATTCAAATGCACAAATACGACGTCATTACATGGTTTGCCCAGTTGTCAAGACAAGAACTTCATTTATGCGAAGATTTTTCAGGTACCAGGGGAATCGACTGTATAATAAATTAAATAAAAGTATTTCCCTCTATGACAAGACTGCGAGAGAGAATAAGGTGGCAATAACTAAATGGTTATTATCACTTAATTATGTTGAGACTGAAGGTTTGCTTTTACGGTCTGGTATGATATGCACACGCACACACACGTACACACACACACACACACACACACACACACATACACACACACGCACGCACGCACGCACGCACGCACGCCCGCCCTGATTTTCAAACTTGTTCCGCAAAGGGAGACCTGGTGTCTCATAATACAGGGTCTACCTAGTTTGAGCACCAGTCTTCCACAATAAGAAGTATACACTGTATTTTATGTACTAGATATAGGTTTTTAACTGTGGAAGAGAATAAATTCATTATTATTAATGTTATTATTATTATTGTTTAGACAACATAACGCCGCACCTAGTAATAAATCTATTATAAATAAATTAACTTCTGATCACTGCGGTCAATGGGCCACTTTTAATATAACTGTTGACAAAATGCCAAAAAAGGATATCACATGTGTTCCGATAAATAATGGTCGACTTAAAGCTTATAGAAATAACGTAACGCTTAAACTAACTGACATTCCATATGTTAACGATCCCAATAAATTGTATAATTCAGTTTTCAACATAGTGAAAAGTGAACGTGATAATGTTTTTAAGTCCAAAATCATAACTATTAATAATTCATTGAAATTTAGTGATTGGACGACTGTGGGAATTCACAAAAGTAGACAAAGGCTATATGATATTTACGATGAAAGGACTTATAACACTAGTAACAGTTTTTAATGATTTTGTTAGTAAATATTCGAAAATGTTTAAACGTGTTTGTGTTGCAGCCAAAGCAATGTTTATAAATAATAAAATAAAAAGCAGCGCGAATGTAGTAAAAACGACTTGGAATATTATAAACAGCGAAACTGGAAGGGTCAAACCTCGTAACTTAGATTTTCAACTAAGATTTAATGATAAAATTGTAAACACAGACGCAGAAGTTGCTAAAATATTTGAATTTTTTTTTACTGATATTCCAATCTTGACTACTAAGTCGTTAAATTCATCTCCCACGGCCGCTGAATCCTTACTAAAAGAAAATAATGCAGTTAGTATCACTAATTTAGGGTTCCGTCATGTATTTCCAAATGATATTGTTAAAGCCTTTAAATCTATAAACATAAAAAATACTGCTGATCTTGAAGGTCTTTCAGTCAGAGTAATTAGTTCTATAGTTGATTGTATTGCGCCTTACTTAGCCTGTGTATTTAATAAATGTGTTAATGATGGTGTCTTTCCTGACCTCATGAAGCAAAGTAAAGTTATTCCACTTTTCAAATCTGGTAGTATTTCTGACCCCACCATTTTCAGACCTATATCAATACTACCAACTCTTAGTAAAATATTTGAAAAAATTATTCTAAATCAGATGTGTGCACATTTTTATAGTAATAACTTAATGTCTCCTAAACAATTTGGTTTCACTCGGGGTCGCTCTACAACCCACGCTGGTGTCGAGTTGATTAATCATATATTTGATCCATGGGAAGTCTCACACGATGCTATGGGTTTATTCTGTGACCTTTCCAAGGCTTTTGATTGTGTGCACCATGATACACTGGTCAGGAAACTACGCCATTATGATGTGGCGGGACGTGATCTCGACCTTCTTAAACGATTTAATATAAATATAAAAAAAACGATTGCGTGGTAGGGTACAGAGGGTCGATGTTAACGGTACGAGATCATGAGGGTCTGCAATTAGCATGGGTGTCCCTCAAGGTTCAATTCTAGGCCCATTTTTGTTTATAGTTTATATTAATGATTTACCTAGCCTTATGGAGGGTATAAAACATGAGATAGTATTGTTTGCTGATGATACTTCCTTATTATTAAAAGTTAAAAGGCACCAACGACGATGTGAACAATGCTATATCTAAAGTAGTTGATTGGTTTCCTGTTAATAACCTACTTCTTAATGAGAAAAAAACAAATTGTGTGAAATTTACATTACCCAATGTTAGAGAGACGGTTACAAGCATTGTAGTTGGAAACCAAAAATTGAATCTTGTGGATACAGTTGTATTTCTAGGTATAACGTTAGATGCTAAATTGCAATAGGGTCCATATAAGTAAGTTATCAAAACGGCTCGGCTCTGCATTGTACGCGATTAAAAAAATAAGGACACTTTCAGACGTCGAAACCGCTAGATTGGTTTACTTCAGCTACTTTCACAGTCTAATGACATACGGCATTTTGCTTTGGGGTAATGCCACCGATATCAATAGAATCTTTGTCCTGCAGAAACGTGCAGTTAGGGCAATTTACAATCTGGGCCCCAAAGTATCATTGAGAGATAACTTGAAGGAAATGAACATTCTTACACTAGCCTCATGGTACATTTATGAAAATGTAATTTATGTTAACAGGAATAGTAATTTCTTTATGAAAAATAGTGACAGACATAACATTAATACGAGGAATAGAAATAAACTCATTTAAGGGGCAATGTATACGCTTCTATAACAAGATTCCGGTTGATATACAAAATTTGCCTTTCACGAGGTTTAAAACTATAGTGAAACAAAAACTTTATACTAAAGGTTATTATACAACTTCTGCGTACTTGGATGTCAAAAATCCGTGGTAGTAACCCTAACTCTGATGTTTCAAATAAAAAAAAATATTGTAAATGTTATTTACAAAGAGCAACCCCTAGAGTTTCTTGCTCATTCTTCTCAAGGGAATCTGCCTTACGAAGGAGCGGTAGAGTTTAACCAATGTGACGATTTCAAGTGTAATAATGCTTTCCTATGAAATAAAGTTTATTTAAAAAAAAAATTCGTTAAAAGATTAAATTTGTGTATCCAAGAAAATGGAGCTCATTTCGAGCAACTAATTAGTTAGATTACCATTTTTTGCGTTTTATTAAAATACGTTAAGATTTCATGGTTTCTTTTTTTTTTTCATTTAATTAACCAATTTTGTGAGAGAGATTTTACTCTTATAATTAACCGATCTTATAATCAATCGATCGATGCAATAAAAGTGCAGGGTGCATTTTTTTAGATTAAAGCGGGTTCGATTCCCGCGTGTTGCTAGAAATTTTCGAAAATCTATGAATGCAGTTTTATTTCTTTTAAAAAATAAAGGAATGTTTCCTTTAAGTAAAAATATCTATCTCCAGTATTTAGAGTACTTTCCCTCCAGGTGGCATTACAAATTTCCACCCTGTATATATATCATATATCAGTGCAAACTGCTCGTCTAAAATTAAATAAACAAATATTTATAATGTAATTCAATCATGTGACGACGGAACTTTGCATGCCTATCGTTATTTTCTGGCGGTACATGTTGTATTTTACCATTGTTATCTCCACTATCATGTTTCTTGAGAATAAATCGATGTGATTTGAAATTATTGTCTTACCTTTTATTAATGCACATTAAGTGCATAAATGACAGAGACCCATTTAGATTTTCCTCGAATCAACCCTACAGCTAATAATTATCAAATGCGACAAACGGTAAAAATCAAGTTCCGAAGTAACTTCACCTAAAAACACACAGATCAAAATCAATTTAAAACAATATTTTTCCTAAACCTGTTCCGTCGGAATTCAAACCCGGGATCTCCTTATTTAGCGCCAAGAGCACTAATCTATGGGCCACAAAGGTCGTTAAAACTAGCTCATAACTTCACTTCAGTCTCAGGAAGCATGACAACTTTAGATGCCTCATCTCCTTTTTCAAACTGTTCATCATCTTTGAACCTTCCATAATTAAAATACTCCTCAATTTCCTGCAACGTTCTATCTTTGGTCTCTGGCACTACAAAGTACAATATCGAGAGTAACACCGCCATACTACCTCCAAACACTGCAAAAGTTCCAAATACCTTAACATTAACCAGTAGAAAGGGAGTCACGTGTAGAACCAAGTACAAAGCGCACGATACAATGACCCCAAGAAGCGCAGATCCTACTGCTCTGTGAGCTAAAGGTAAAATTTCTCCAAAAAATGCCAAAGGAATTGGTGTACATCCCAAGTTCACTAACACAAAGTACACCACGAACAATGAAATGGGAATCCAATGTCTGTCTCTCGATATCACATCCTTAGACGCAAGAAACAGGTAAGTACAAGTAATAGCAATTGTTATAACTGCTGCCCACCCCGTGGTAAAGAGTAATGTCCGTCTTTTCATGATTTTTACTAATAACGAAGAAAATGTAGCGCTTAAGGTGATAATCAGGTCCATAGCTAATATGTAGTAAAAAGAATGGGAATTATTACCTGTTACCTCTCCTGTGATATCTACCGCGTAAGCAGGAAAAAAATGTCTTCCAGATACTTCAAAAAGTAAGGTACCGGAAATTAATATAAGAATCGGAAATAAAAAGTCTCTTCTTGTAAATTTCTTAAAGAAATCTACAATGTCTTCCATAAAAGTTGTGACTTTCTGATTGTCGACCTTATTCATTTGTGATCTTATTAATTCATTTAGTTCCTTCTTTGATTTGTCGTCATGTCCTCTAAGCCAGAAGAACGATTTCTCAGCTTTTCCAAACTCCTTCTTATAAGCCAGGAAAGCAGGTGTTTCATACCAGGTCATGACATTTAACAACGCATAAATATAAGGTATGACAGCTAACAAAGCTATCATTCTCCACGAAACATAATTACTAAGTATATGGACAATCGTACTGCCCAGACATACCGAAACTGTCTTAAGGTTCAGGAACATTCCTCTAAGGTTCGGACTAGAACATTCACCAATGACAATGGGTCCAAGAATAACTGTAGCTCCCACTGTGATACCACATAGAATCCGTCCAATTAAAAATGCCGCTACTGATGCTGCGTAGTAGATTAATGTCCAACCGATAATTCCGGGCAGGATTAACAACATATGTGTGATTTTTCGCCCCCAACGATCCATAAAGGCGGATGCCAGAAAAAATCCTGGTATTGCGGCCAGGCCAACACAGGACGCTGCAAAATAAAAGTAATAATAATAAATTACCATTTATAGTTATACTACATACTAGGTCTAGGTTAATAATATCTTTGAGAAAAGCCTTACTTCAGATTTCTAAATCTAAAACATAGAGTAACGGCATTCTCTCTGGGATACTTCTCAGAATATAGAAACCAGTATTCTGCGCTGTCATTATTGAATATTTGTAGCAGGTTCACACCAAAAAAATTGAACCGTAATGTACATACTTAGTAATCAGAATCCACATGATTTCAAGGTGAGTACTGTGTGGAGTTGCCTGTTTTTCGTCTAAAAAAGATTTTTTATATCGTGTGAGTATGGAATTATACAAATTCCGTATTTGCCGTTTCTTCCCACGATTTTGTGCAGAAATTAGTTAAAATTTGGTACTTTAGGTGAAAACCCAGTCAAAACCCGGGCGGGCTGATTGGGTTTTAACCCACTACCGATCTCTGTATGTGTCATGTTATGGTCACATCATAACATTTATTTTCCTCAATCTTTCTGTGATATGGTAAAGAAGTTCTTTAATAGTGACAAAGAAAACAAATTTTGATGCAAATTCTGTATTTTAACGCCTATATTTCCAGTCAACAAAATTAAGGCTCATATGAAAGTTAACTCAACAATCGAAAATGTTAACGTTTGATTGAAGATTTCAAAATAATATCGGCAATAGTTTAAATTCCCTACCCCATATACCGGAGGTTACAAATACTTTATATAGCACGATATTTGGTTTAATTAAAAATGAATTTGATAATATATTTAAATCGAAAACATTAACTTTCCATAGAGAGACTAAATTCAACGACTGGGCAACAGTAGGTATTCATAAGAGCAGGTCTCGTTTGTATGAGCTATATGGTATGAAAACTTATAATACAATATATTTTATGAAATTCAGTAAGGTTATTCCCTAATTTAAAAGCAGTTGAAAGGAAAGTTGATCCTAGCAACTATAGGCCCATTTAAATTTTACCAGCTTTAAGTAAAATATTCTAAAAGGTTATGCTGACTCAATTACTGTCCTATTTCGGTAGGAATCATATTTTTCATAGTGAACAATACGGTTTTACTAGTGGTAGATCGACTAGCGATGCGGGGGTAGCGTTACTAAAACACATCTTTGATGCTTGGGAAAGGTCCCAGAATGCTATTGGTGTTTTCTGTGACCTCTCAAAGGCATTTGATTGCGTTAATCTTATTACTCTTATTAGGAAGCTAGAATATTACGGTGTAAATGGCAAGGCGTCGGAACTTGTCTCGTCATATCTCAACGAATATATGGTAGAATTCAGAAAGTAGACATAAATGGAGTGACTTCTTTGGGTTCTTCGGTAAAAATGGGTGTTCCACAGGGCTCAATAATTGGACGGAACTTTCTTATTTCTGATTTGTATTAATGATCTGCCATTCTTTGTTTCGGACCATTGCGAAATAGTATTGTTTGCTAACGACACATCCTTGATTTTTAAAACATACAGACATGACATTAACTATGACCATATTAATGATACCCTCTCTAAGATAGTTTATTGGTTTAATGCTAACAATTTATTGCTTAATTCCAATATCTTCCCTGACCAGCAGATTATGCTCCGCTGCATACGCAGTCCGCAGAATACGTAAGCTTACCGATGTTAGTACTGCTAGACTTGTTTACTTTGGTTACTTCCATAGTATAATGTCCTACGGGATTCTCATGTGGGGTAAAGCGGCAGATATTCAAACCATATTTCTATTGCAAAAACGAGCGATTCGTTCTGTGTACCGTCTAGGCTCTCGGGTTTCGCTCAGAGAAAAGTTTAAGGAGACTGGTATCATGACTGTGGCATCACAGTACATTTACTCAAATATTTTATATGCCCGTAAAAATATACATAATTCCATAGTATAATGTCTTACGGGATTATAAGTCCAAACTCATGGTACCACGATTTCGTTTAACCAAGGTAAACAACTCTTTTATGGGGAACTGTATGCGTTTTTAAAATAAGATTCCGGAGCATATATTAAGATTATCATTTCCTAAGTTTAAAAAGTACATTAAAAATATTTTGTTAGAAAAGTCGTATTACAAAATTGAAGACTACGTGTTAGATAAAGATGTATGGAAAGATGACACGGCTCCAGAATCTACGCAAATTTGATTCAAAGTGTATTCCATAGCATTTAAGATTATTTGAAAAGGGCAATCCCTAAAGTTTCTTGCTCGTTCTTCCCAGGGAAGTCAGCGTAGTCAACGCGCATTAGCTTAATGTAATGTAACTTACCAATCCACGAAGCAGTGTGTAGATCAACCTCCACAGGAGAATCAGGTCCTTGTAACGCCGGCATCAGGCTGAACACGTAGCTTACCACTGCGCCTTGAGCCATCATGTTTACAAGGACTCCTGACACCACCCATACCTGAAATAATACGATTTTAAACATTGAAGTTAATAATATGTCCTCTGTTTGACACCTGTCTGTTTATCTGTTTACGTAACAACCTGACAACCAACGATTACAACAAAAACTGAAAAGATTATTTTTGGTAAATTTATTAGGCAGTATGTTCTCTTTCGCCTGTTCCATGCAGAACGAAGGAAAACAAAAAAAAAGTTTTGTAAAAAGTTATGGAACAAAGTTGTTGTTTATGGTGTTACATTCAAAGATTCAAAAGCTCTTGTCACAAACCCGCATCGAGGCCATAACCACGATGCAAGCACGTAAAATATAGCCTTATTTTTTTCCATCCTCTAGGCATTTAGCACGTCAAGATCACAAAAATATCTTAGGCTAAGTCGTTCATTATTTACATAATGCATTACATAACCAAATGCTAAGATCTGAGCATACACTTTTATTTTTTTCCGTCCTCTAACAACACACAAATACATAAAATATATTAGTTTAATTACAATAATAGCATTCTGTGAAATAAATTCATTGACCTACCAACAAATAGACATCGTGTCCACGCTAAAAAGTGTCCGCAGTTAATGGGTGTTAAAATCTCATACAGAGCGTCAATCGCACAACGTGCGCACAACAGTCTTCGTTTATAGTAACAAATAACAATAAATAACTTGTAAAAATTACTGCAGTTAAGTGTAAAAACAGAATTTGATATTATGTTTTCACTAATCAAATATATTATGTTATCATAGTTCTCATTTAAAAGTATTGTTTTGTACAGTTGTATAGTGTAGGTAGATGAGAATCTTTTAACAAATGTTTGGTGGAGGGTAGGTTACGACATTCCGCAATAAACGTGAATCTGTGAAGCGGTGTTTCTTTGTGCTCCTCTGAATATTTAATATCCCACGGGTTTGGTCAGGATATAACAGTGGCGACGAGAAAATCAAATAGGTATAGGTTCTGTAAACAGATAAAAAAAAAAAGAGTAACTACAAAATGTCTATTGGGAAACTTAGTGAATTCGACGTCAAGTGCGGAGTATGGTCGTCGTACGTAGATCGTCTTAAAATGTACTTTAAAGTGAATAAAGTGACGGAGGACATGAAATTGCCCGTGCTTATCGCGTCTATGGGTGACGAAGCGTACGAGCTGTTAGTGAATTTAGCTAGTCCGAACGAGCCATCTGCGTTGACATTCGACGAAGCGGTGGGGCACATGAGTCAGCATTTACAACCGGCACCATCGGCCTTGGCGGAGAGGTTTCGTTTCAGACAGAGGAGGCAGAGCACGGACGAAAACACAGCAGGTTACGTTACGGAGTTAAAAAGATTATCGAGATATTGCAAGTTCGGAGATAGATTAAATGATAACATGCGTGATCAATTCGTATGTGGAATTAGGAGTGATATTATTCGTCAGCGGCTGTTCGCGGAGAGCGACGATGTGACCTATGCACAGGCGGTGAAGGTCGCAACTTCCCTCGAGGCGGCAGAACGGGACTCGGCTGCGGTGGAAATGAGGACAACGCGGGAGTCAGTATCCAGCGGTGGTGGCGCCAGCGGGGAGTTGAGCGCGGTGCATGCGCTCGTGTCAACAGGGAACGGGCCACGGAGTGAACGTGCCCCTGGTAGAACGGGTTCAGCGCGAGCCAGCCAGCAGCGTGCGGGCGGCGAAGCGGACACAGCACGAGCCAGCCACCAGTTTGCGGTTGGCGGAGCAAGCTTCGTTCGGAATAACAGGCTTAGCTCGAGGCCAACATTCGGGCAACAGCGTTATTCCTATTGTGGAGCATGTGGAGCACAGAACCATAATTATGCAACCTGTCGCTATAGGTACTTCGTGTGCAGCAAGTGCCAGCGCACGGGGCATTTACGCCGGGTGTGCCCAGATTGGGGAGAGGCGGAGAGAAGTGGCCTACACTTCGGACAGGCGCAACTGGAGGGCGAGATGGAGGTGGACGGACATAACTATGACATGGAGCAAGAGTTAAACCATTTGTGTTTGAACGACTTTAAGCCAGTAAGTGTTTCCGTGTATATAGACAATAAACTTATTTCTATGGAGGTCGATACAGGTACGGCTATTTCGTGCATAAGTAAAAAAACGTATAACGAATATTTTAGTTATTATGCTATAGAACCTGACAATACTGTTTTGAAATTCTATGATGGGAGTAAAATTAGGCCACTAGGGATTATCAAGCCTAATGTGCGGTACGGCAATAGAACGAAAGTTCTAGAACTCTTCGTGATTGATTGTGGAACGACTTCCTTATTAGGGAGACAATGGTTGACGGAATTAAAAATAGATGTACCGCAGTTTAGTTGTAACTTTGTATCTTATAGTGGAAGTAACGAACATGTAAACAAGAAATTGGAAAATTTACTTAACAGGTTTAAGGAGCTGTTCAGCGGCGGTCTGGGTCGGTACACTGGGGGGAAGGCAACGCTGACGGTACGCGAGGGGGCGACGCCGGTGTACCACCGCGCGCGGCCGCTGCCGTACGCGCTACGAGAGCGCGTCGACAACGAGCTCGACGCCATGCTGCGCGCGGGGGTCATCGAGCCGGTGGACCACTCAGATTGGGCCTCGCCACTGGTACCCATTCCTAAGCCTGATGGCATTCTTAGATTGTGTGCGGACTACAAATCTACATTGAACCCCGCTTTACTGATCGATCGTTATCCCTTACCGAAAATTGAAGATGTGCTAGTAAATTTAAACGGCAATCAATATTTTAGCAAAATCGACTTATCCCAGGCGTACAACCAAGTAGAACTCGATGAGTCCAAAGGGTACACCGTAATAAATACTCACCGAGGCCTGTTTAGGTATAACAGACTAGTTTATGGTTTGGCTTCGAGTGTAGGTATTTTCCAACGAATAATGACTGAATTATTGAAGGGTATTCCAAATGTGCAAGTATTTTTAGATGATGTGATAATAGGTGGTAAATCGGAAAATGAGCATATTCACGCTCTAGAGATGGTTTTACGGCGTTTATTAGGCCATGGGTTAAAATTAAAGAAGAGTAAATGCGTGTTCCTTACTAAAGAAGTTACGTATTTAGGGTATGTAGTCTCTCAAGACGGTATCAGGGCCGATAAGTCAAAGGTAAAAGCAGTGTTAAAAATGCCTACTCCGCAAAGTGTAACCGAATTACGTTCTTTCCTGGGTACGGTCAATTTCTTTGCTAAATTTATTAGGAATATTAGTTCTATTTTGTCACCGTTGTATAACTTGTTACGCAAGAATGTAGAATGGAAATGGAACGGGAAGTGTGAACGTTCATTCCAAAAAGTGAAACAATTGCTAATGAGCGCGGAAGTATTATGCCATTACGATCCAAACCGACCACTGGTGTTGACTTGTGACGCGAGCGTGCGGGGAGTGGGCGCGGTACTATCGCAACGGAGCGAGGGCGCAGACGGGCGCGAGCGGGCCGTCGCGTACGCCTCGAGAACCCTCAGCGATGCCGAAACAAATTACTCACAAATTCATCGAGAAGCGTTAGCTATCATTTTTGGTCTAAAGAAATTCCACCAATATTTATACGGCCGTCGGTTTTTGTTACGTACAGATCATAAACCTCTGGTTTCTATATTTGGACAAGATAAAAGTATTCCTCAAATGACGGCTAGTAGGATGCAGCGCTGGGCTGTTATTTTATCCGCTTATAATTACGAAATAGAATACGTAAAAACTACAGATAATTGTGCGGATGGCTTGTCGCGTTTGCCGGAGGTAGGGCAAACGGAGGAGGCTTCTATACCGGAACAGACGTACCTACATTTTGCCCAAGACGCCTTGATGTTAGATTACAATGTTGTAAAACAATGTACGGCTAAAGATGTCCTGTAGGGTTAGGTCATATGTAAGAGACGGTTGGCCAGAGGAGTGCGATATAGATAATTTAAGGCCTTATTTCAATAGGAAACGAGAGCTGTACGAACAGCTCGGCTGTGTAATGTGGGGCCACAGAGTGGTAATACCGGAGATTTGTAGGGATAGGGTTTTAGAAAGAATTCACGAACCCCATATGGGAATTGTGAAATCTAAGGCTTTGGCACGCAGTTACGTGTGGTGGCCTGGGGTAGATGAGGCCGTGGAGGCGGCGTGCCGCGCGTGCACGGTGTGCGCGGCGCACGCGGACCAGCCGCCGCGCCACGCCCCGTGCGTCTGGCCCTGGCCCTCACGCCCATGGTGTAGGTTGCATTTGGATTACCTCGGTCCCATTAACGGAAAAATGTATCTGGTAGTGCTGGACGCGATGTCGAAATGGATTGAGGTCTTTTAGTGCCGAGTACTTCCGCTAGCTTTACGATAAAAATACTTTCAGAGCTATGGAGTAAATACGGGTTGCCTAAACAGTTAGTAACAGATAATGGCCCACCTTTCACAAGTAAGGAATTTAAGGAGCACGTGAGTCATAATTTTATTGAGCACATTTTCACCGCGCCGTACCACCCCGCATCCAACGGGGCCTGTGAAAATGCAGTTAAAACGGTTAAAAGAGTTGTAAAAAAAGCGATATCAGAAAGAAAATCAGTATCAGAATCCTTAAATACCTACTTAATGTATTACCGTAACACGGAGCATTCGTCGACAGGGGAAACTCCCGCCATGCTGTTAATGAACCGTAGGTTGCGCACTCGCCTGGACGCTTTAAAGCCAGACAGAGGAGCCAAGGCTCTGGCTGCACAGAAGAAACAAACAGAGGCAGCGGGCGGGGTGCAGAGGAGCGTGGATGAAGGAGACCAGGTCTGGTATAGGCAGTACTTACAGGGGGAAAAGTGGGTTGCAGGTACGGTTTCAAAGCAGCTAGGTAGAACAAATTATGAAATCATAGATAAGGAAGGTAAGGAAGTGCATAGACATATCGATCAGTTAAAGCGGAGGACAGATAGATTGAGTTCGCTCGTAGTACCCAACAACCCGGTTGATACGCCCACAACCAGTGAACCAGTGGCGGGGGCTGAAAGGTCGTGTGAGGGTTTAGAGCGTCGCATGGCCGAAGCAGGGGAAGAACAGGAAACGTGGCATGATGCTAATCTAGAGGATTCGCGACCGTGCAGCCCCGTCGGGCACGCACAGTTGCCCATCATACTGTCACCGCCCCAGACTCGCCCTAACCGCCATGTACGACAATGTCGTATAGACAATCCCCCTAAATATAAGTATTAGTTTAAAATTTTGTAAGTTTCGGAGTAAATAGTATAAGTTGTTACGGTTATAAGTACAGGGGGTTGCTTTTGTAATTAAGTGTGGAGGGATGTAGTGTAGGTAGATGA